TCTTTTATTTTAAAGAGCACTTAATTAATTTATAATTACGCATTATAGTTTGGGAAATAATAATTGAATTTGAGCGATTTTGTGCGGCAATGTCGGATGATCAAAATTTTTCAGGGCAAAAAATGCAAAAATCATTTTTAATTTTTTACAGGCCCTAAAATCTCAAAAAGAAAAATCACGAAAATGCTTTCCTACTTAATTTGACACCCTATTTCTATTGGTAAGCTCAAAAATTCAAAAAAGTAGAAAAATCAAAAGCAAGGAAATTTCATTTTCAAATATTTCAAAGGGACTTATTTTGGAAACTAGAGAAGCTATCGGTACGTAATTTCGTCCAACTGTAGATCTCTGGTGGGGCTTCAGAAAAGATTGTTTGGGACACTGAGCCCTAGGGCTTCGTTTCCGTGATAATGGACTTGGAAGGTTCTCCAAAATTTAAGACAAAGTTTCAACTTTGAGGCTCAACATCTCGAAAACTATTCGAGATAGATGATTCAAATTTCTTCTATATTGTAGAGCATTGAATTCTGATTAAAAATGTATAATTACGTATTAGAATTTGTGAAATAATAATTCAATTATGAGCGATTTTGTGCGGCGATGTCGGATGATCAAAATTTTTCAGGGTAAAAAATGCAAAAATAATTTATAATTTTTTACAGGCCCTAAAACCTCAAAAAGAAAAATCACGAAAATGCTTTCCCACTAAATTTGACCCCTTCTTTTGATTGGTGAAGTCAAAAATCAATAAAAGTAGAAAAATCAAAATTGATTTTTTTGTGAGGAGTATGCAAGGAAATTTTATTTTTAAATATTTCAATGGGCCTTATTTTGGAACCAGAGAAGCTATCAGTACGTAATTTCATCCAATTGTAGATCTCTGATGGGGCTTCAAAAAAGATCATTTGGGGCACCGAGTCCTAGGCTTCGTTTCCGAGATAATGGACTTGGAAGGTTTTCCAAAGTTTGAGACAAAGTTTCAACTTTCAGGCTCAACATCTCGAAAACTATTCGAGATTAATGATTCAAATTTCTTCTATCTTAAAGACCATTTAATTTTGATTGAAAATTTATAATTATGCATTGAAATTTGTGGAATAATTATTGAATTCTGATCGATTTTGTCCGGCAATGTCGGATGATCAAAATTTTTCCGGGCAAAAAATGCAAGAATCAATATTAATTTTTTACAGGCCCTAAAACCTCAAAAAGAAAACTCACGAAAATGCTTTTCCACTAAATTTGACCCCTTCTTTGGTTGGTGAAGTCGAAAATCAATAAAAGTAGAAAAATCAAAATTAATTTTTTTGTAAGAGGTACCTATGCAAGGAAATTTCATTTTCAAATATTTCAATAGGCCTTATTTTGGAAACCAGAAAAGCTATCGGTACGTAATTTCACCCAATTGTAGATCTCTGGTGGTGGGGCTTCAAAAAAGATCATTTGGGGCTCCAAGTTCTAGGCTTCGTTTCCGAGATAATGGACTTGGAAGGTTTTCCAAAGTTTGAGACCAAATTTTAACTTTGAGGCTCAACATCTCGAAAACTATTTGAGATAAATGATTCAAGTTTCTTCTATCTCATAGAGCATTGAATTCTGATTAAAAATGTATAATTACGCATTAGAATTTGTGAAATAATAATTGAATTCTGCGCGATTTTGTCCGGAAATGTCGGATGATCGAAATTTTTTGGAGCAAAAAATGCAAGAATCATTATTAATTTTTCACAAATTTCACAGGCCCTAAAACCTCAAAAAAAAAACTCACGAAAATGCTTTCCCACTAAATTTGACCCCTTCTTTTGATTGGTGAAGTCGAAAATCAATAAAAGTAGAAAAATCAAAATTGATTTTTTTGTAAGGAGTATGCAAGGAAATTTTATTTTCAAATATTTCAAAGGCCATATTTCGAAAACCAGAACAGCTATGGGTACGAAATTTGGTCCAATTGTAAATCTCGATTGGGGCTTCAAGAAAGTTTAATTGAGGCACCAAGCCCTACAGCTTCGTTTTCGAGATAATGTACTTTGAAGATTTTCCAAAATTTGAGACAAAGTTTTAAATTTGAGGCCCAACATGTCGAAAACTATTTGAGATAAATGAATCAGTTTTCTTTCATCTTAAAGAGCATTTAATTTTGATCAAAAATTAATAATTACGCATTAGAATTTGTGGAGTATTAATTGAACTATGCGCGATTTGGTGCGATAATGTCGAATGATCAAAATTTTCCAGGGTAAAAAATGCAAAAACCATTTATAATTTTTTACAGGCCCTATAACCTCAAAAAGAAAAATCACGAAAATGCTTTTCCACCAAATTTGACCTCCTCTTTCGATTGGTGAAGTCAAAAATTAAAAAAATTAGAAAAATTAAAATGAAACTTTTCTAGGGGGTATGTAAAGAAATTTAATTTGCAAATATTTCTAAGGACTATATTTTGGAAACCATAAAAGCTATCGGTACGAAATTTAGTCCAATTGTAGATCTCGATTGGGGCTCTAAAAAAGAGTATTGGGGGCACCTAGCCCCAGGGCTTCGTTTTCGAGATAATGGGCTTGGGAAGGTTTTCCAAAGTTTGAGACAAAGTTTCAACTTTGAGGCTCAACATCTCGAAAACTATTTGAGATTAATGATTCAAATTTCTTCTATCTTAAAGAGCATTGAATTCTGATCAAAAATTTATAATTATGCATTAGAATTTGCGAAATATTAATTGAATTATGACCGATTTTGTGCGGCAGTGTCGGATGATCAAAGTTTTTCAGGGCAAAAAATGCAAAAATCATTTTTAATATTTTACAGGCCCTAAAACCTCAAAAAGAAAAATCACAAAAATGCTTTTACAATATATTTGATCCTCTCTTCCGATTGGCAAAGTCAACAATTTAAAAAAATTGAAAAATTAAAATTGAAACTTTTCCAGGGGAAAGGTATGTAAGGAAATTTAATTTTCAAATATTTCAAAGGACCATATTTTGTAAACCAGAAAAGCTATCGGTACGAAAAATAGTCCAATTGTAGATCTCAATTGGGGCTCTAAAAAAGGGTATTTGGGGCACTGAGCCCCAGGGCCTTCGTTTTCGAGATAATGGGCTTGGCAGATTTTCCAAAGTTTGAGACAAAGTTTCAACTTTGAGGCTCAACATATCGAAAACTATTTGAGATAAATAATTCAATTTTATTTTAACTTGAAGAGAATTCAATTCTGATTAAGACTATATGAATATGCATTAGAATTTATAAAATAATTAATGTGTTATGGGCGATTTTGTGAGGCAATGTCGGGAGATCAAAATTTTTCAGGGCAAAAAATGCCAAAATCATTTTTAATTTTTCACAGGCCTTAAAACTTCAAAAATAAAAATCACGAAGATTTTTTTCCAATAAATTTGACCGTCTCCTTCAATTGGTGAAGTCAAAAATTGGAAAATTTAGAAAAATCAAAATTGAAATTTTATGCAAGAAAATTTAATTTTCAAATAATTCAAAGGGCCATAATTTGAAAACCAGAAAAGCTATAGGTACGAAATTTCATCCAATTGTAGATCTTGATTGGGGCTTTAAAGGAAAGAAGTTGGGGCACCGAGCCCTAGGCCTTCGTTTTTAAGATAATCGGCTTTGAATGTTTTCCAAAATTTGGGACAAAATTTCAACTTTGAGGTTTAACGCCTCGAAAACTATTCGAGATAAATAGTTCAATTTTTTAACTTAAAGAGCATTCAATTCTGATTTAGAATATATAAATATGCACTAGAATTTATAAGATATAGTAATTGAGTTATGAGCGATTTTGTGAGGCAATGTCGGATAATCAAAATTTTTCTGGGTCACAAATGCAAATTGATATAGGACATCTACTTAAGCATGATATTATGCATTACGGCTAAGTTAAATTTCACCTTACTGTGACTCAAAAAAAACTTAGAACTTATGTAATTAGGTGAAGTAGTTAAGTACCTACTCTTCTACCTTAAATTTATGTATCTAGCTGTGTTTACTGGATGACGAGGTGCAGAACATCAAAACTCATATGTAGTTGCATCCACAGGGAATACTGGGTACTAACGCACTGGTTTGCCATAGTTTGCCATGATTTATTAAGCTTTCATAGTAGCATTGTATATAGTAGCGATACACCTATAGAACCGACTTCGTGCAATGCGTTTGGCTACGACAGACCCGAGAAAGACTTACTCGAATATTGGTTTTGGTTTAATAAACAGATTCCTCAATTTCTCAATTTTTTAGTTTTGAATTTCTCATTTTTGTTATACAAAAAAAAACAATCTGAACGGAAAAAAAATCGTACAACGTTCTGCTCATTACTGCTCAAAAACTGTTCAGCGAAAGCTTCTTTACAAATATTATTTTTAATTACTCTAATTTTCTATTTTTGCTCACTAAGAACGCTTTTCCCACATGCATTTCAGCTACATATATTATATGATTCCTAATTATAAAGCAATTTAAAGTCTATAATAATTTGAAAAAATATGAATTGACCACTGATAATCCCGGAAGAAAAATAAATGTTAAGCTTTCTTGGTCCATTCCACAAAATAGGCAATTTTTAGTCAATAAATTTACAGATCCGTTGGCTGGAAAGGAAAAACTACCAACTCTATTTATTTAAATTAATAAATATTTTAAAATCTCTAATTATTCAGTAACGATATTTTGAATATAAGAAACTTTCACAATGCAAGCTCCTAAATTCGCCCTTTTTTGATCTGCTCGCCGAAAAAAATCAATTAAATCCAGAAATAACCAAAATTTACTATGCGGAATTCATATGATTTATTGAGGGGAACCTATACAAATTTAATATTTGAGAATTTCTAATAAAATCAATCACCCCCTGTATAAAATAACTCGTTACCACGGCATCTGTTGACAACGCTCTGCCAATGTCAACAAAACATTGTGGTTGTCAACACATATTTAGTTGGATGATATATTTTATATTGTTTATACGTATTTGAAACATATCTGAGAGTATGAGTGCTTTGGAATATGAAAGTAAGTAATTTATTAATTCTATTTCAAAAAAAAAGCCCCATGATTCGTTCAGATTTAGACCCGTTTACATATTTACGATTATTTATACATTTTTTCTTTAGATCTTGAACAAAAGTATATAGAAACCAAAACAAAACTGAAAAAAACCTTGAAGTACAATGAGAGACACACTATACAAATTGAAAAGGTAAGTTTTCAATAGTTATATCACAAGCGGTGGATATATTTTCATAGAAACAATATTTTGACAGTTTTTCTTCAATAATTATTGTAAGAATATTCAATCTAAAATATCTCTCATGAGTGCTTTTTCCAAGAATCGAGTCTCTTTGAATTTTCACTTATGTGAGATGTTTTTTTATCAAGCTGCAATCTACAAAAGTACTCAATCCATAAGGCCCTGTCATTGCCTGATTTTTTGGAGGTGTTTCTTTGTTCCAATTGGAAAAAGGAGATAGGCATGGTCTTAAAACAATAACCTTCCACTAGCCAATGAATTTTGATTATTCTATGCCTGTATGCACCATTCCACAAATCCTCTGATTAAGACTTTAGCCATGATTACATAATATTTTTCTTAAGCTTACTTTTCATGCATCCGTTTTTCCGTCAATCCGATGATCCGGAAGTATTCCTATTGGTCCATCATCGCTTAAGGACTAACCACCCTTCTAAAGACTATTATTTTTTAACCGATTTAATTTTTTTTTTGTCTTATATCTACTCGAATTTGGCACTTATTAGGCTCATCATTTTATTTCTGCGGCTGTACTGGTGTACAGGGTGTCCACATTTATGAGCTCAAATTTCAATAAGTACTATTGGGGATTTTTTTGATAGCAAATTCTTGTTTAGAATGGTCTAAAACCCAAATATACTAATTCCTATTTCAATTACACATAGTGATCGCAACAAAATAATATTTTCAAAATTTAATGGACGGTGTTTTTCGTTTTGGAAGTATCAATGCCTTTTTCACTACAGTATTTGGATTGGGTAAGAACTATTTATACTATTTGTCCATATGTAGTTGGTACTAATTTGAAATAATTCCAGAGGTCATCGTCAAGATGATCGGCTTGAGGTACCTATCACTACTTTACGGTACCGTGGAACGTTTTTGACTTCCTTCCGGTGATGGTGAGGGTGTTTAGGATCGAGCGCATTTTGCGTTTGATTAAAGTGAGAAATTGGACTTTAATTTGAATCTAATCACGTTAGAATCGGATTCAAATTAATGAAAAAAAAGGTTCATTTTTGGTTACACGGTTAGAAATAATTGCCTAGATCTTCTTTGGATATTTGAGCAAATTGAAATAAATTATACATCATTAGGAATAGCGATAAATTCTCTATAAATCCGTGCAAAAATTGAGTTTGATAGCTCAAACAGTTTTTGAGCAATTGCGTCTCAAAGTTGGCTTTAAGAATTCGAAAAAAAGTACCCTTATAAAAACACAATTTTTTTATTTTTCAGTTTTGCTCAGCAATTGAGGTTCAAAGATTTTGGAATTAGAATTTAAAGTATCCTTATGAAAAACTCGATTTTTTTATTTTCAAGTTTTGCTAAATTATGACTTCACCAGTCGATAGAGCGGGTCTAAATTAGTAAGAAAACAACCCTGACATCAATTCCAAATACCCATTTTAAGCAGAAACAAAAATAAAAAGAAAATCCTATTTTTGGCTCCGGAAAATTTTCAAAATCTTGACATGGTCATGAACAATTGCCCATATCTTTGTTAAATTTAGAGCAAATTAAAATGAATTATCATTGGAAAGAGCAATAAATTCTCTATAAATCCGTGCAAAATTGAGTTTGATGACTCCAATAGTTTTTGAGTAATTGAGCCTCAAAGTTGATTTTTAATCCAAATTTTGTCAAAAATTTCAAACTCAATTTGCTCAAAAATTATAAATCTGGAAATATTGTAAATCACAGGTTATTTAGAGCTTAATAAAAGCTACAAATGCTGAAAATTTCAATGCAATTTGCTCAATGTTTACCGAGAAATAGAGGTTTGAAGATTATGGAATTGGAATTCAAAGGGGGTATCGTTATGGAAAACTCGATTTTTTTATTTCCAGTTTTGCTAAACTTCGACTTCACCAGTTGATAGAGCCGATCAAAATTAGTGGAAACCAACTCTGACATCAATTCCAGATGGCCATTCTAAATAAAAACAAAAAAAAAAAGAAAATCCCCTATTTTTGGCTCCGGAAAATGTTCAAAATCTTGACATGGTCATGAAGAATTGCCCATATCTTTATTAAATTTCGAGCAAATTAAAATGAATTATATATCATTGGAGAGAGCAATAAATTCTCTATAAATCCGTGCAAAATTGAGTATGATGGCTCCAATAGTTTTTGGGCAATTGAGCCTCAAAGTTGATTTTTAATCCAAATTTTGTCAAAAATTTCAAACTCAATTTGCTCAAAAATTATAGATCTGCAAATATTGTAAATAAAAGATTATTTAGAGCTTCATTAAAGCTACAAATGCTGAAAATTTCAATGCAATTTGCTCAACGGTTACCGAGGAATAGAGGTTTGAAGATTATAGAATTAGAATTCAAAGGGGGTATCTTTATGAAAAACTCGATTTTTTTATTTTCCAGTTTTGCTAAATTTTGACTTCACCAATTGATAGAGCCGATCAAAATTAGTGGAAAGCAACTCTGACATCAATTCCACATGGCCATTTTAAATAGAAACAAAAATAAAAAGAAAATCCCCTATATTTGGCTCCGGAAAATTTTCAAAATCTTGACATGGTCATGAACAATTACCCATATCTTTGTTAAATTTTGAGCAAATTAGAATGAATTATATATCATAGGAAAGAGCAATAAATTCTCTATAAATCCGTGCAAAATTGAGTTTGATGGCTGCAATAGTTTTTGAGCAATTGAGCCTCAAAGTTTATTTTTAATCCAAATTTTGTCAAAAATTTCAAACTCAATTTGCTCAAAAATTATAAATCTGGAAATATTGTAAATTACAGGTTATTTAGAGCTTGATGAAAGCTACAAATGCTGAAAATTTCAATGCAATTTGCTCAACAGTTACCGAGAAATAGAGATTTGAAGATTATGGAATTGGAATTCAAAGAAGGTATCTTTATGAAAAACTCGATTTTTTTATTTTCCAGTTTTGCGAAATTTTGACTTCACCAATTGATAGAGCCGATCAAAATTAGTAGAAAGCAACTCTGACATCAATTCCACATGGCCATTTTAAATAGAAATAAAAATAAAAAGAAAATCCCCTATTTTTGGCTCCGGAAAGTTTTCAAAATCTTGACATGGTCATGAACAATTGCCCATATCTTTGTTAAATTTTGAGCAAATTAAAATGAATTATATATCATTGGAAAGAGCAATAAATTCTCTATGAATCCGTGCAAAATTGAGTTTGATGGCTGCAATAGTTTTTGAGCAATTGAGCCTCAAAGTTGATTTTTAATCCAAATTTTGTCAAAAATTTCAAACTCAATTTGCTCAAAAGTTATAAATCTGGAAATATTGTAAATTACAGGTTATTTAGAGCTTGATGAAAGCTACAAATGCTGAAAATTTCAATGCAATTTGCTCAACAGTTACCGAGAAATAGAGATTTGAAGATTATGGAATTGGAATTCAAAGGGGGTATCTTTATGAAAAACTCGATTTTTTTATTTTCCAGTTTTGCGAAATTTTGACTTCACCAATTGATAGAGCCGATCAAAATTAGTAGAAAGCAACTCTGACATCAATTCCACATGGCCATTTTAAATAGAAACAAAAATAAAAAGAAAATCCCCTATATTTCGCTCCGGAAAATTTTCAAAATCTTGACATGGTCATGAACAATTACCCATATCTTTGTTAAATTTTGAGCAAATTAGAATGAATTATATATCATAGGAAAGAGCAATAAATTCTCTATAAATCCGTGCAAAATTGAGTTTGATGGCTGCAATAGTTTTTGAGCAATTTAGCCTCAAAGTTTATTTTTAATCCAAATTTTGTCAAAAATTTCAAACTCAATTTGCTCAAAAATTATAAATCTGGAAATATTGTTAATTACAGATTATTTAGAGCTTAATAATAGCTACTACAAATGCTGAAAATTTCAATGCAATTTGCTCAACGGTTACCGAGAAATAGAGGTTTGAAGATTATGGAATTAGAATTCAAAGGGGGTATCTTTATGAAAAACTCGATTTTTTTATTTTCCAGTTTTGCTAAATTTTGACTTCACCAATTGATAGAGCCGATCAAAATTAGTGGAAAGCAACTCTGACATCAATTCCACATGGCCATTTTAAATAGAAACAAAAATAAAAAGAAAATCCCCTATATTTGGCTCCGGAAAATTTTCAAAATCTTGACATGGTCATGAACAATTACCCATATCTTTGTTAAATTTTGAGCAAATTAGAATGAATTATATATCATAGGAAAGAGCAATAAATTCTCTATAAATCCGTGCAAAATTGAGTTTGATGGCTGCAATAGTTTTTGAGCAATTGAGCCTCAAAGTTTATTTTTAATCCAAATTTTGTCAAAAATTTCAAACTCAATTTGCTCAAAAATTATAAATCTGGAAATATTGTAAATTACAGGTTATTTAGAGCTTGATGAAAGCTACAAATGCTGAAAATTTCAATGCAATTTGCTCAACAGTTACCGAGAAATAGAGATTTGAAGATTATGGAATTGGAATTCAAAGAAGGTATCTTTATGAAAAACTCGATTTTTTTATTTTCCAGTTTTGCGAAATTTTGACTTCACCAATTGATAGAGCCGATCAAAATTAGTAGAAAGCAACTCTGACATCAATTCCACATGGCCATTTTAAATAGAAATAAAAATAAAAAGAAAATCCCCTATTTTTGGCTCCGGAAAGTTTTCAAAATCTTGACATGGTCATGAACAATTGCCCATATCTTTGTTAAATTTTGAGCAAATTAAAATGAATTATATATCATTGGAAAGAGCAATAAATTCTCTATGAATCCGTGCAAAATTGAGTTTGATGGCTGCAATAGTTTTTGAGCAATTGAGCCTCAAAGTTGATTTTTAATCCAAATTTTGTCAAAAATTTCAAACTCAATTTGCTCAAAAGTTATAAATCTGGAAATATTGTAAATTACAGGTTATTTAGAGCTTGATGAAAGCTACAAATGCTGAAAATTTCAATGCAATTTGCTCAACAGTTACCGAGAAATAGAGATTTGAAGATTATGGAATTGGAATTCAAAGGGGGTATCTTTATGAAAAACTCGATTTTTTTATTTTCCAGTTTTGCGAAATTTTGACTTCACCAATTGATAGAGCCGATCAAAATTAGTAGAAAGCAACTCTGACATCAATTCCACATGGCCATTTTAAATAGAAACAAAAATAAAAAGAAAATCCCCTATATTTCGCTCCGGAAAATTTTCAAAATCTTGACATGGTCATGAACAATTACCCATATCTTTGTTAAATTTTGAGCAAATTAGAATGAATTATATATCATAGGAAAGAGCAATAAATTCTCTATAAATCCGTGCAAAATTGAGTTTGATGGCTGCAATAGTTTTTGAGCAATTTAGCCTCAAAGTTTATTTTTAATCCAAATTTTGTCAAAAATTTCAAACTCAATTTGCTCAAAAATTATAAATCTGGAAATATTGTTAATTACAGATTATTTAGAGCTTAATAATAGCTACTACAAATGCTGAAAATTTCAATGCAATTTGCTCAACGGTTACCGAGAAATAGAGGTTTGAAGATTATGGAATTAGAATTCAAAGGGGGTATCTTTATGAAAAACTCGATTTTTTTATTTTCCAGTTTTGCTAAATTTTGACTTCACCAATTGATAGAGCCGATCAAAATTAGTGGAAAGCAACTCTGACATCAATTCCACATGGCCATTTTAAATAGAAACAAAAATAAAAAGAAAATCCCCTATATTTGGCTCCGGAAAATTTTCAAAATCTTGACATGGTCATGAACAATTACCCATATCTTTGTTAAATTTTGAGCAAATTAGAATGAATTATATATCATTGGAAAGAGCAATAAATTCTCTATAAATCCGTGCAAAATTGAGTTTGATGGCTGCAATAGTTTTTGAGCAATTGAGCCTCAAAGTTTATTTTTAATCCAAATTTTGTCAAAAATTTCAAACTCAATTTGCTCAAAAATTATAAATCTGGAAATATTGTAAATTACAGGTTATTTAGAGCTTGATGAAAGCTACAAATGCTGAAAATTTCAATGCAATTTGCTCAACAGTTACCGAGAAATAGAGATTTGAAGATTATGGAATTGGAATTCAAAGAAGGTATCTTTATGAAAAACTCGATTTTTTTATTTTCCAGTTTTGCGAAATTTTGACTTCACCAATTGATAGAGCCGATCAAAATTAGTAGAAAGCAACTCTGACATCAATTCCACATGGCCATTTTAAATAGAAATAAAAATAAAAAGAAAATCCCCTATTTTTGGCTCCGGAAAGTTTTCAAAATCTTGACATGGTCATGAACAATTGCCCATATCTTTGTTAAATTTTGAGCAAATTAAAATGAATTATATATCATTGGAAAGAGCAATAAATTCTCTATGAATCCGTGCAAAATTGAGTTTGATGGCTGCAATAGTTTTTGAGCAATTGAGCCTCAAAGTTGATTTTTAATCCAAATTTTGTCAAAAATTTCAAACTCAATTTGCTCAAAAGTTATAAATCTGGAAATATTGTAAATTACAGGTTATTTAGAGCTTGATGAAAGCTACAAATGCTGAAAATTTCAATGCAATTTGCTCAACAGTTACCGAGAAATAGAGATTTGAAGATTATGGAATTGGAATTCAAAGGGGGTATCTTTATGAAAAACTCGATTTTTTTATTTTCCAGTTTTGCGAAATTTTGACTTCACCAATTGATAGAGCCGATCAAAATTAGTAGAAAGCAACTCTGACATCAATTCCACATGGCCATTTTAAATAGAAACAAAAATAAAAAGAAAATCCCCTATATTTCGCTCCGGAAAATTTTCAAAATCTTGACATGGTCATGAACAATTACCCATATCTTTGTTAAATTTTGAGCAAATTAGAATGAATTATATATCATAGGAAAGAGCAATAAATTCTCTATAAATCCGTGCAAAATTGAGTTTGATGGCTGCAATAGTTTTTGAGCAATTTAGCCTCAAAGTTTATTTTTAATCCAAATTTTGTCAAAAATTTCAAACTCAATTTGCTCAAAAATTATAAATCTGGAAATATTGTTAATTACAGATTATTTAGAGCTTAATAATAGCTACTACAAATGCTGAAAATTTCAATGCAATTTGCTCAACGGTTACCGAGAAATAGAGGTTTGAAGATTATGGAATTAGAATTCAAAGGGGGTATCTTTATGAAAAACTCGATTTTTTTATTTTCCAGTTTTGCTAAATTTTGACTTCACCAATTGATAGAGCCGATCAAAATTAGTGGAAAGCAACTCTGACATCAATTCCACATGGCCATTTTAAATAGAAACAAAAATAAAAAGAAAATCCCCTATATTTGGCTCCGGAAAATTTTCAAAATCTTGACATGGTCATGAACAATTACCCATATCTTTGTTAAATTTTGAGCAAATTAGAATGAATTATATATCATTGGAAAGAGCAATAAATTCTCTATAAATCCGTGCAAAATTGAGTTTGATGGCTGCAATAGTTTTTGAGCAATTGAGCCTCAAAGTTGATTTTTAATCCAAATTTTGTCAAAAATTTCAAACTCAATTTGCTCAAAAATTATAAATCTGGAAATATTGTTAATTACAGATTATTTAGAGCTTAATAATAGCTACTACAAATGCTGAAAATTTCAATGCAATTTGCTCAACAGTTACCGAGAAATAGGGATTTGAAGATTATGGAATTAGAATTCAAAGGGGTTATCCTTATGAAAAACTCGATTTTTTTATTTTCCAGTTTTGCTAAATTTTGACTTCACAAATTGATGGAGTGGAAACCAACTCTGACATCAATTCCAGATGGCCATTTTAAATGGAAACAAAAATAACAAGAAAATCCCTTATTTTTGGCTCCGGAAATTTTTCGAAATCTTGACATGGTCATGAACAATGGCCCATATCTTTGTTAAATTTCGAGCAAATTGAAATGAATTATATATCATTGGAAAGAGCATTAAATTCTCTATAAATCTGTGCAAATTGAGTTGAACAGCTCGAATCGTTTTTGAGTAATTGACTCTCAAATTTGATTTTTAGTCGAAATTTTGTCAAAAACTTCAAACTCAATTTGCCCAAAAACTATAAATCTAGGAATATTGTAAATTACAGGCCATTTAGAGCTTGATAAGAGCTACAAATGCAGAAAATATTAATGCAATTTGCCCAAAGGTTACCGAGCAATTGAGGTTTAAAGATTTTGGAATTAGAATTCAAAGTATCCTTATAAAAAACTCGATTTTCTTATTTTTCAGTTTTGCTCAATTTTGACTTCACCTATTGATAGAGCGGCTCAATAGAAACAAAATAAAAAGGAAATCTTACTTTTGGCTCTGGAAAATTTTCAAAATCTTGACATGGTCATGAGCAATTGCCCATATCTTTTTTAAATTTTGAGCAAATTAAAGTAAATTATATACCATTGGAAAAAGCATTAAATTCTCTATAAATCCGTGCAAAATTGTGTTTGATAGCTCAGAACGTTTTTGCGTAATTGACCCTCAAAGTTGACTCTTAGTCTAAATTTTGTCAAAAACTTGAAACTCAATTTTCTCAAAAACTATAAACCTGGGAATATTGTAAATTATAGGTCTTTTAGAGCTTGATAAGAGCTATAAATGCTGAAAATTTCAATGGAATTTGCTCAACGGTTACCGAGCAATTGAGGTTTGATATTTTCAAATCAGAATTCAAAGGGGTACCCTTATGAAAATTTTTTATTTAATTGAATATTTGACATTTCAATTGAACTTCCCAAATTTCTAATACATTTATCAATACGTTGACGATTATTGTTTACCACCCTTTTTAACTTTCACCCTGTACTATTATAACAACAAAAATTGGTACAACTTAGTTTCAAAATATCCTTAACTGAAACTTGTAGTAAGCTTGTCTCAAAATATGACATTTTTGCTGTTTGATCCATTCTAAACAAGAATTTGCTATCAGTTTTTTTTTGTTAATCCCTTATATAGTTCTTAATAGAATTTGAGCCTATAAATGTGAACACCCTGTACACCAGTACAGCAGCAGAAATAAAATTATAAGCATAAGAAGTTCCAAATTCGAGTGGATATAAGACAAAAAATTAAGTGGTCAGTCCTTAAGCGGGACACACTGTATTTATAAATTTTCCTTGTATTAACGCGGTCTTTGGAACAGTGAAAACTCAAGCTTCATGCATATATGCTGTATTATTTCACATTCCATATTATCGTACAACCAATCTTCCAAAAAGATTTCCACCCCTACCTTATAATTTCTGAGTGACACGGTAAAAATCTTTAAACTGATTGAAAATAGATTTGATTGGCTGACCTAATTAGTTAGGTGCGTAAGCAAATATTTTCCCTTCATAATCCAGAAAATTAAACGAGTAACTTTTCTAATATAAGACCTATCTTTTCTTAAAGCTCACCAAAAAATGTAAACGTCTAGAACAGGAAAATAAGCATTTAGAGAACCAAATAGACAATCTCCAAACTAAGGATGCCAGTGAATCTGATACTTCTAGTCAAACCAACTTTCATCAAGACCGTTCTCATATGATAGAGCTGGTACACTCAAAAAATCAGCAAATATCAGATCTTTTGAAGGATATTGAAGATTCTGAAAATGAAAATGTCATTCTACGTGAGAAGTTATCCGAAGCTAAGGACCAACTGGCTACAGCTACCATTGAAATAACTACTATGACAGAAACTTTAAAGAATTACGAAATTGTTGCAAAAGAAAGAGACGAAACAATAAATACAACTTCATTGAAAATAAACCAGTTACAGTTAGACTTAAATGCAAGTGAAGGAGAAAAAAATACTATAGAGAAACAATTAAAACTATTCATTATCGAGTCAAAACAAAAGGAAGAAGAATGGAAAGTATGTTAATTTTCACTTAAATACCTAATTAAAAATTACCAATTCTGATGTACCTACATCATCTTTTTCAGAGTGTGCTAATTGAGAAAGATGAACAAATTCAGCGTTTGAAAGCATCAATTCCAGCAGTAAAAGGATCACCAAGTGCAAAAGATGAGGATCAATCGTCAAAAGAACTCCATATGCGAGAAGGTAAATAATATTATGATTTTTTTTCATTACCATTAATTTCTTAATTTAGTGGAGAAATTGAAAGCAGCTCTATCAAAAACCGAAGTTTATTTAGAAGAGTTAAAGTCCGAAATGAAAAATTGCACCGTGGATTTAAGAGAGAGCGCAAGGGTCATAAATAAATTAAAATCAGAAAAACATGTCCTGGAAATAAAACTGAAGGAAATGATAGATTGCGAAAAGGATATGAAGGAGCAACTTAAGAAGGCACAAAACCGTTCCAAAACTTTGCAGACGGAAGTGGAGTATGCGAATAAAATGACCAAGATTTTTGAAAATGATGTAAGAAGAAATTTGTTTTTTTTTTACAGTAAATAATAATACTTTTGTAGCTTACCACAATAAAAAATCACATTAAAGAAAATGATGGTGGTCAGATTGAAGCATTGGTGAACTTAGAACAAATTCAAACATTAAAAATCGAAAAATTCCTTCATGAAAAACAAATCGTAGGCCTAGTAAAAGATATTAACAAATTGCAAGAAATGTGTAATATTTTTGAAATTGAGAATGCATCTTTAAGGTGAGATAAGGCATATAAGGCAAGACGTTCTCTAAAGGTTTTTTTCAGAAAACAACTAGGGCTTACAGCCGAAGATACTGTTGAAACCGATAAAAGTTCGTTTAGCGAATCGAAAAGGCAGAAAAAATTGATAGAGAAATTACAAATTGAAAATAAGAGTGCCCAAGAAGATAAAGTAATGCTGAAATTAGAAAACAAAAGACTTAAACAAAGGGTGAGTATCTATTTAGGAAATATTATTATTATTATTGATTTGGTTGTTCTGGATTTATCGTAGATTGCTAATTTGTTGAATAGTTCTTCGGAAAACCTTGAAAAAAATATGTCAAAAGGTGAAACAGGCAATCAATCAGCCGATATTAAAGCTCTTGCGGAAGAAAATGAAGCCTTAAGAAAGGGCCTGCATGAAATTTTGGTTAAAAATGGTATGCCTACTGTTCTTTCAAAATTGAACTTCTTTTCGGTTTTTCTTTTTTAGAAACGTGTCCCAGAGAGCTGAAATCAGACATATTAGAAAGATTACTCAAAGCTTTAGATGTCAAACATATTCCAGCCTGGAACCATCCTGCCATGCGGCTACAGGCCGAGCTTAATACTTTAGAAGGAGTTAATAGTGAACTTCGGGAACAATTACATGGAGCTAGAGCAGAGTTGGATAAATTCAAATTAGCATCAATTTCATTGAAAGAAAATCAAGTCGAGCAAGCAGACACCAGAAAAGAAGTAGTTGATGTTTTATCAAATAATTTAAATAATGAAACTTCAAATCTCGAGCAAGTAAAAATTCATATAATGAAGATTATTACGGTGAGCTTGCAATTACTTATTTGGCATGTGGAACTTTTTACAAGTAATTGTTTTTTTTTCAGTATTTTAGCGAAAAAGAATCAGATGCTGAAACCAAGCTAGAAGAGGAATTTGGAATTTTAAAGCAACATATTAATTTGTTACATTCAAATTGTGATAAGGAAAAAAATGACTTGATAAAAAAGCTAGATGAGTTTGAAAAAAACGCTTTAGAAGCTCAAGGATACCCTGAAACAGATTTAAATAATAAAAGTCCTGAAGAATTAAGACAAGTTATTAATACTTCAAGAACCAAAGAGAAATATTTATTCAAACAAATGAACAACCTACAACAAGAACTTTTAACCCTGAAATCCAATCATTCATCATTGAACAAAACCGGTTTAATGGAAACAGAAATGCTTTTGAAAACGAATCAGTTTCTACGCTCAAAAATCAACCTGAGAGAAAAACAAATTGCGAACTTAATTAGTCCAGAAGCCTATAAAGAAGTTCAGAATACTTTGAATGAGAACATAAAGAAATATAGAACTGTTATGATGGAAGTGGAACGGCAAAAAGGAGAACATGACTATGAGATTGAGGTTTTAAAAAGAAAAGAAATGGATTTGAATATGGAAAATACTGAACTAAAAGGTTAAGTTGTTTGTTGGCGTTGTCGGAATTAATAAGGAAATTTATAACACCATAAAATATTTGAATGTTTCAGATAAGCTGAACAAATCATTAACCAAACTAAGCCAGGAAGTTTACAAGCACGACAAAAATGTTCTCTCTTTATCGGAGAAACTAGCAAGCACTGAGGTAAATTCTAGTCCCTAATAAATAGTTTCGTTAAATTTAACTACCCATTATTTAAAGATACAAGCAATCTCTGAAAAGCACCGAGCAGACCACACAAATAATTTATACGAGCTGGTAAAAGAACAATTGAAAAAATCCGAGGAAAAGTTTCTGGAATTTTCCAAATACAGCGAAGGGCTGCTGCAAAAGAATTTGGTGCTTCAAGAGCAAATTGCAGCTTTAGAAGATCAAGTTTCGATTTTTATTGATCCGACAATTTATAAGGAACTGGAGACCAGTTTAAATTCTTTGCTGCAAGAAACTGAAACGATTAGAGCGGAAAATAATGAAATAGAAAAAAAATATCAAGAGCAATGCGATTGTATTCAACAAACTTCTAACTGGAACAAAGAAAAAGAACAAGAACTCTTAGGCCTCAAACATAAAATAGTCGACCTCTCTATTACGTCTGACGATAAAGTCGTCATCGAACAGCTTCATAACGATCTCTCAAAATCGCGCTCGGAACTTCGAGATCAACATTTACAAGTAGACTTTTTACGAAAAGAAGTTGCTATCTGGGAAACGCGCTGGACCAAATTATGTTCTGAGTTTGACAGTCAAAGAAATTACTTTGAAATTAAATGGAAAGTAAGAGAAAAGAAAATTGAGATTCTTCAAGACATTATTCTAAAACATAGAGTTCAGTACCATGGTTGTGTTCCTTTAGCGATTCAAGAGTTGTTTGTTGAAAAATTGAATAGCCTCAATAAAGAAAAACATGATCTATTTATTGCATCACAAAATACTGGAAAAACTGATGAGAACGAAGAAGGAAAGCATCAAATTAATTACCTTCAACAAAAAATATTAAATCAGGATATGTCCATGGCGAAGCTTGAAAAGGAACTGTTTTCAGCCTACAATCTAATGGATTTCGATAACACAAGAAAGGAAACCACTATTATTAGACGAAAAGCCCCTACCTTAGTTAAACAGCTCGTATCACAGGAGTCATTAGACCCCATTAAAGAAGAAGTCTGCGATACAAAAAGAAAATCAAAAATTGTGATTTTGAGAAACGTGGAAAGCCAAACGGAAGATTGGCAAGAGGATAAAGGGGAAAACCAATTGGCAATAACGACGGCTCAGATTCAAAATTTACAAAGTCAATTAGCCGTTAAGGGTGCTCATATTAAGGAAAAGGAGCAGTAAGTAGATAATAAATAAAATAATGTAAGTATATTTTTTTAAATTTTTGCTTCTTTCAAGATTATTAGCAGAAACTCAAGAGGAACTAAAAGCAATTAAAGAACAAATAAAAGATAAAAACGTCAAAATCATTTCACTGGAAAATAATTTGATAGATTATAAAGATCGTGTATCACAAATTGATGGGGCACGAGATGCTGGAGTTGGGTCAACAATTAATTATTTGGAAGAGCAAAATGCAGCTCTTAGGATGTCTTTAAAATACACTCAAGATAAAATGAAACAAAAAGACTTTGAAATTATCAAGTATCAAACAGTAATAAAAGACGATAGAGACAAGCATAGCTTGGCAGCTGCAAATCTTCAAAAAGAGTTGACCGTTTCGAAGAAAGCTCTAGCTGTAGAACACCAACATGTTAAAAGGTATAGGTAGACCAACATTAAAGACAATATTCAACAAATCCTGATTAGTTTGCAGGAGAAAGAACTACTTTTCCAAAAAAAATCAGCCGCTGTAGAACAATACATGTCCCAAGTACGTGGTTTAGAAAAACATTTGGCGGAACTGCATACCCAAGTAGCTCAGTTACAAATCCAGCTACAAAATTCTAACCAAGAAGCGACTAGATGGCGTCAGATGGCTCAGGATCGGTTGGTTGCAATGCAGGAGCTAGGAAAAAGGTATTGTTTTTATATTTTTAAGAACTTCTATGAATATTTAAAAAATACATACATCTAATAATATTTAGTTTAAACGAACAACACAACAAAGAACTTGATAATTTCAAAACTGATTACGAAAGATTGAAAACATTCTCCAAAGAATCCACTGTTACTCCCAAAACTGGTCTAGGTCCTAATGATCCTGGCTATATTGCTCCGGAAATATTAAAATTGTGCAGAGAGAAAGATCAGAAAATTGAAGAACTGACGGCAAAGCTAGAAAAAGTGAGTAAAGTATTTTCCGAGGTTCAAAAAAAAAATTGGAAATTCTTATTTTAGCGAGAAGGTGAGAAGACTGATAAGAAGTCTCTTAATTTAAATTCTGATAAACACATGAACAAAGAAATTGATACTTTACGAAGTAAATATAAAGAAATGGTGGATAGAGAAAAAGTTTTGAAGGACGACTTGAAAGTATTGACAGAAAAATTATCTAAACAGTCAAATTCATCAGTAAGAAGCCAAAAATCTGAAAGAACAGTTAAAGAGCAGTTGCAAAAAAAAATAAAATCATTAGAAGATAAAATCAAAGATTTGAATGAACAATTAGCGCACGAACAGATTTTAAACGAAAATCACCGATTGAGTGCTTCTGAGGATTATGAAAAATGGAAAAAACAAAAATACTGGCAAGAAAATTGTGAAAAATATAAAAATAAATTTCAAGCGTCTGAGGAGGAACTCCTGAAAATGCGTGAGGCTTGCAAAGGCTATAGGTAATTATATATCTTGCCAAATATAATTAAAAATACATAATATTTTTCTCAGACTGATTATCGATCGTCTTGAAAAGGAAAAACTTCATCTCGAAAATCGCAACAAATCGTTAAAATCAGATCAAAGAAATTTGATATCAGATCAGGAAAACGCTCTACTGAAAGAGGAAAACGACCAACTTATTAGTAAATTGGAAGCGTTGCAAGCTAAAATAGATATGTTGCAACATGGTTCTGGAGCATTGGGTGCTGCATTGATGCAGGAAAAATTAGAAGGGCAGGAAAGGAAAATTGCGGTATTGGAACTCAGTGCTAAGGTAGGTACTTACTTAATATTCTCTTGCAATAGCAGAGATATTTCCAATATCAAACCGTTTATTTTTATTTCTCATGCACCAATGCAATGGGCTCAAAATTGTCTTGAAAGGTTTATAAATGACATTATGTGTCACGTGATAATATATTGTATAAATAAAATAGCGAAGAATTCACCTTTTTTGCATAAAAGTGCATATAAATAAGTGGCGCAAGGGCTCGAGACATAACTGTAGTCCGAATTATAATTTTTTTATTATACACTATACACACCTCAGACAAGAGTTCTTTGAGAGAAAATCGATTAAGCAAAAACTTCTTAAAACCCCTCCTATTTTTCGTAATTATAAGAAACTAGAAGATCAGATAATTCAAAATAAACGATAATGCCTACTTTCTTACTATACACAATTCCTTGATGTTTCCATCAATGTTTCAAGCCCTAGCATATTATCTTAGGGTATTTCTCAATTAGTTTTGAGTGTTAAAATTCTAAATTCTACAAAATTTCACACTTATAGGGCACTATCGAAGTGAGAAATGAATTGGAGCGTCTACAAGCAAGCTTGACAAATCTGCAAAAAAAGAATCTTTGTTTGGAAGCTGAAAATTTAGAACTACAAATGGATTTGGAGAAATATAGCAACGAAGCGCCTCATTTGCAAGAACAAATTCAACATTTAGAAAAGTAAGGAATAGAGCTGAATTTGAATGAATTTTAATGTTGGAAAAAAATATTTTATTCTTCAACTTTCACTTATTATGTAAAAGGTACTTTTAAAATAGCTACAAAGTAGCTTCTTCAGATTGCAACAAAAATAAGTAGAAGTTATGAAGTGAAAAATATTTTTGCCACTTAAATGCATCAATTCTTCAAGCTTTCACCGATACTTATAAATATTGACTGGATTAATTAAATTAAAGAATAACGCTGTGGTTGATAATGCAATAACATGTCCAAATTTTCAGTTACATCGAACTACTCAAAAATGAAAATCAAAGTAGTCAAGCCTCGAACGTCATCGAAGCTCCAAGTTCAACTGATCTCAGCGAAGACAAAAAAGTTCCCCAATTGGAACGCACAGTTTTTATATTGAAACGAGTTGTGGAAAAATTGCAAGCAGAAAATAAACGGCTTGTTACTGTGAAAAGGCCGCTGTCAGATCGATCGGTGGGTGTATTTTTTTTTCCATGAAAATAATGTTCCTACATAATATTTTCCAGCATTCAGCGGATAAGATTCGCCGTGACCATTTACGACTGAAAGATCAGCATGTGGCAAGTTTACAAAAAATTAAAGAACTCGAATCACAACTGCAATCTGTCAGAAAGCAAAAAAGCTTACCTGGTGATGAAATGAATGAGCACCTTCGCAAGGAACTAACTGAAGTAAAAGAACACCTTGCTCAGAAAACTGTACTGTTGGAGAAAGTAAAGTCTTTGCTTCATGCTGCGGCTGCGAGAGAGAAACAACTTTTGCAAGACGTAAGTAGTTTTTAAGAATAGAAAAATTTATCATTTCGTGTGTTCACTTGAAGTTATCATACCCATAATCTCGAAAATGTCGCGATACCCAGACTCACAGAATCCGTCATACATTGGAGCCCCCTTCATATCAAGGATTTTCGAGCAGCTAGCTTAGAATGGTTGAGTTAATTATCAGTGAAAATTTGTCCCCTTTGAAATTATTGGTGAATTATTTATGCTCGTTTTGAAATATTCTAATATTAGAGATAATGAGGATAAGAGTTGTAGGTACCGTTGATGTCCCGAGGACAATTCGTAAATCAGCTTCGTTTTGGTTAGAAAAAAGGACAGTTCTAGAACGGTCCCAAACAATCGCACAGTTTATTGTTGGAATTTTTGATAGCCGAGCCGTTGTTATTATGTTGATTGATAAACTGTGCGATTGTGTTGGACTGTTCTAGAACCGTACTTTTTTCAAACCAAAACAAAGATATATGCTTAATATCCTCGTGCCTGGTTGGATTTATACAGTATCTATACCTACATCAATTTGAGCATTTTTAGCTCCACAGTCAAAACTAAATAGGAATTATTGTTTTCAAAAAGAATTAAGCAATTGAATCATAACTACAGGGCGTCCCAGCCGAGAGTGACCCATTTTAAATGCTTATAACTTGTTTTAGCCATAAAAAATTGAAATCGGAATCCTGATATTTTTGCAAACGCATGCAACTTCATATTGTAAGGTACTTGCTATTCTGCCGTCCTAAGAGTAGTTGTCCTAACTGCAAAATTTTCAATTATAATCAAAGTACTCCATCAAATTTAGTCAAAAGGTAAAATTATATTTGACTTTAATCTCAATTAACTTGTGCCCTTATTTAAAAAAAAAAGTATTGAAAACAACAAAAATATATGCCTAAACACTAAAACTTTAATATCTCAAAATGCACAATTCTCACATAGGACAACTAGTGTTAGGACGGCAGTATTGATAAGGCAAACAATGTTGTAACTGTCAAGTTAGATATCAACTAAGTTAAAAAAACATTTTCCAAGAGAATTTAACAAGTTCCAACAAGAATGGCGAGTCTGACCTCAAAAGAAACAGTTTCGTACGCAATCTATGTTGAGAAAAAATACAGACCATTTTTCATTAATGAACCAACGATAACAGGAACTGTATACACTGATATGTGGGAAAATTTATTTTTTTCGCAATTAAGACGGGAGGGTAGATCTTGAACGATATCTATTTTCAGCAGGATTGTGCCCCACCTCAGTATTCTTTAATATCAACAAGAGAATCACTAGATATGACATTTGAGAAAAGATGAATAGGAAGAGCTGGTCCTAAAGAATGAACACCTTACTCTCCTGACTTGAAAGTTCCAGACTTTTTTCTCTAGAATTATGTCAAGGAGAGATGCTGTAATCCTTTGCCAAATAGCCTGGGAGATCTTAAGTAAAACATTTCTAATGTCACTGAAGCGATTACCGAGGAAATGTTACACAATTTATCCAACCATTTACTGATCCATAAATGCAGGGAACATAATTGATAACATATAAGTACAGCATTTTTTATAGTTTTATGCGGTTTTTATAAACTTTTTAGTAGGCAAACATAATTTCCAGGCTTGTATTTTGCTCGGGTTAAATTTGTGTGGACATATTATCTCGAGCTCTAAGAATGTTTTACCTTTTTCGAGTTATTTTTTCTCAGTCCATTGATTTCATTGGAATGGTCATCCGATTCATTTATTTGTATCATGAATTTTCTCAATATGCCTCCAGATCATTGTTCGTAACACGTGTGGGGATTACCAGGACTCTGAAATAAAAAGAATTGAGCAGCTAAGTACCAGATTTTTATGTTCTCCATGATAAGTCATCAGGTACTCACGAGATCAATATTTTTTAGGCACAGTAGGTTAAATTGATCTGTTTTCTTGGTGACTAGGAGCTTCGCTTTGTCAATGGCGTCCATCCTTTTCAGCTGCAAAATAGGTAGAGTTACTTATATAATTACCCTTTTAAAAATTTGGGGTTCATACACATGAGAGAGACATACAAAATTATGTAAATTTGGTAGCAACATATAAATACATCTAAAACTTCAAGTTTAAAGGATGATGTTTATTGGTACATGGATACCTTGAACATGAATATTTTTTTTGACGTTGTGAGATACCGGGTGTTCCATTAAAAATAGTGGAAAATTTCCATGTTGAAAAACGGATTTTTTTTACTCGCCCTGTATAAGTGACGAAAAAATTTCCAACCTACTGGAAAAAGGTGAAGAGAAATCGAGTGGCGCGAACCACAGGTAGCTAGCACACCTGGTTTAAAAGTTATAAGCATTTAAAATGAGTCACTCTCAACTGGGACACCCTATATTACACCTGCTTGTGATGACAACCGAGCCACGAATTAATACTTCCAACGTTATTTTTTATTCTACATTAGTATGTATTATCATTGTATTATATTTCAGATACATGAACTAAAATGTCCAGGAGATATGGAGAGGGATATATCAGTTGATATTCCTAGCACTATAGAAGAAGTATCTGAAGTAAGCAGTGATGTTTGATTATATCAATTAATGTTTTTGTACAATTTTTATGGATTTATAATGATTATACTTTTATAATTCTTTCTTGCATATTGGAGTTTTATTTGACTCTTTTGATTGAATTTGTTACGAATATTAAGTCCCGTTGAATGAAACTTCTGATAAGTTAGGTAGGTACTTTCAATTTAAAATCTCAAACTTACGACTCGGAGCTAATTTTGAAACTACTTATTTTGTCATGTAACATGCTTGATATGGCACTGATAAAAGTGGATAGGTAAATACAGGAAGTTTCAATAAATTGAATTGTACATGGAATAAAAAATGTTTCCTTCCTTACTAGTTTAAGCACATGGCAAGCAGCCACCTTTCCTTGATATATTTTTAGTTGCCAGAATCGGGTAAAATAAAATCCTTAATTATAATATGGAGTATGAATGAATGAAGTGTGTCACATTTTTATACCAAAAAAGGGCCTTTTTCTTATTGTATAGGGACTTAACAAAGGATTAGGCATTACCAGTAATACATTAGAATTTAGATACAATGGAGAATCTGTCAGTTCCAAACTTTGCTTCGCATTCTTAGTCGCATCAAATTTGGAAACATTGACAAGTTTTTCTCCCAGATAACTCACTGTTCTAAGATGTAATAAACCAAAATTTTGTTCTGTGGAAAACAAAAATACCAAAGCCCTAATATAGGTAGGGACAATACTTTATTGGCCGACTCTACATGGTAGTCTATGCATCATTATAAAGAACAATTTATACTCCTCAGCAAACTTCCATCGTATGGTCTTACGAACGAATTTCGCCATTGGCTGGGGAGCTTTTTGGATGAAAGGCATGTCACTGCATGTTGTGGTCGATGGTGTGTCTCCCGATACACTGCCTTTTAATGCCGGCGTTCCCCAAGGCTCAACTCTGTCCCCAATACTTAAGGTATACTCATTTTTATAAATGATTTGTTAAATGTGACAGGAACCTCTATAGCATTGCGGACGATGGTAGCTTGGTGGAATCTTTCTCTTCTGACCGACCACTCACTGCAATCACCTCCGCAAGCCTCGCCCGAGAACAGATTCACTCTCTATCAACAGTGGTCTTGACACTATTACCAACCAGGGTCTTAACAACCTAATTCAAATTCAATCCTTCCAAGCAACAGTATTCCCTAATAAGAAATATTCCTCCGATGATATCGCAGCTTCAAAGATGTCCGGGACAAAACTTTTCTATCGATCCCCCCGAATACTTGAAATTCTCTGAAGAATTTGGAGCTTGATGGTACCTGGAGTTGTGTATTTATTCAAATTCTTGTGGTTGTTTGAAATTTTTTTAATCTTATTCCACAAATATTCAATATTGGATTCCCTATTGAGGGTTTTCACAAAAGGATTTAAAACTGTTTTTTTTCTCTCTCTTAAATTTCTCTTAGTAATGGCAATTATTCGTTTTGCATTTATGTAATTTTCTAAACTTGGGGCATTATTGAACGCATCTAGAGCACTCCTTCTCGCATCCGTCCACAGAGAACACTCCCCATCCCACCATGGATTGGAAATTTTTCCTACAGAGCCACACTTTTTCAGAGGTATCTATCGACTCTTCTGCTGCCGAATTCCTGATTTCAGTCAAGTCCTGATAACTTAAATTTAAATCTTTATCAACAAGGTGCAACAATATTTTCTCATAAAAGGTATAGTTGCCAATTGGCCTCATTGAAATTCCTCACTTCATAAGTACCAAAGAAAAACTTTCCACTATTTTCGTTTTCCAAGTTATATTCTAAAAACGTTGGAAAATGACTGCTCACCATTGAAAGATCCACTGCACTATCTCTGGTATTAGGATTCTGAAAAAGAGTCATCTCTCCATCATTCATAATGAAAATAAGTCTCTATCCATCATAAAGTCACTCATGATTTTGCCTCCATTATTCATGGGGAGACTCTCTATATCCCACATTAGTTGTATTCCTTTCAAGAGTTTGCAATACTCCAGCTACTCGCTGCGGTGTTAGTCGACCCCGATTTGAAAGGAAGAGATGCATGGTGCAACAAACACTTTTTGAAAGGAATAAGCGCGTAACGCTCGGCAGGCTTATTCTCTACGAACAGCAATTACATAGCAACCAGCAACCGGTCGCAAGTTGCTTTTTTTTAATAGAAAATTCGCGTTTGACAGCGACGATTGCGCAATTCTCTGCGGTCGCAAGTTACAGAATAAGGCTGCCGGTGCTTCTCCTATGTGTGAAAGGAATACAACTATTGGATGGTGTGAATTGAAATCGCCCACGATGATTATTTTATCAGCAGGCACATCTACCAAAAGGTTCTCCAGCATTTGTAGGTTTATATTATTAGAAGAATTAACGTAAATGTTAATAATGTATGATTCATTGATTTTAACAATAATCTATTGAGTATCATCTGATGAATACCCCTTAAGTTCAATCTCGAGTTTAATACAAATAACATTTTTCTTAATGCAAGTTACAACAACACCTTATCCATCCATTCTGTCTTCTCTTATTATATTATATGATTGTAAAGAAAAATTCTGATTTATTTTGAGCCAGGTTTCATTCAAACATACAACATCAGGTTTTTCTTGTTCTAATAATTAAATTGCCTCTGTTGGAGTTAATACTTCTTATATTCCATTGTAAAAGCTTTAATTTATTTTTGTACATTTTTTTTTTCATGTATATTTTTAACAATCTGAGTCTTGGTCTATGTCTATATCAAATTGACGAGACTAATATTTCTCTGATAGAGTTCAGATTATCTTCAGACGTATTCAAAATAAAATTTAAGCAATGATTCAGTTCAGTAATTTTTTTAAAGCTACACGTGGCACTTCTAGGCATGAGTGAATTTAGGTTATTATGGGACAAATTGGTTGGAGAATAATTAGATGTGGAAGGTTGAGGGTTCATCTGGGAATTGTCATCGGAAAAACTCTGAGAAGGGATTTGCTTAGGGTCTCTCGGATTGGGAAAGAACAGTGCATCTTAATGTTTCTTATAATCACAACCTTTTTGAATGATTTTTTTATTGTTAATATTTGAAACAATTTGCGCGAAGGATTTTTTTGTAGTATTATTTTGGGAAAAATGTGTTCTTCTTTGAGAAGGAAGAGTCACATTGTTCTCATTGTTGAAATTTCTAAGGGTGTTAGGAAATTCTTTAGTTTTATTATACCTAGACAAAGTCTCTTTTAGGTAAATAAGTTTTTCTACATAGTTCACTTGCATCATAAAAGATAACACTTTCAAAGGCCATTAATTCTTTGATGTTCTTTTGCTTTGTGTATTCAGGGTATTTTTAAGAAATTGACTTGTGATCTTCTTTGCAATAAAAGCATTCAGTTGTATACAAGAAACATCTGTATTACCTTCCAGATGATTTTCCTCTTTGTCTCAATTGAGGCATTTTTCTCTTTCTTAACAATTATGTTTTGTGTGTCCATATCGTAGACACCTAAAGCATTGAGTGAAAACTATAATGTTTCTGAATCGCAGTAAATGTTGGCAATAATATAAACACGTTTTGCTATTGGCCATTGCCTACTGCATTACAGAGCGCAGCCACGCCTTGCGGCAATATGTTGTCTGTCATCTGTCAATTTAGAAATGTCTCGCAAGTGGAACTTATTTGTCAGACACATGCTTTCAAATTTCTTTGCTATTCATCGTTAATAGTGCCTACTCTCGTTTATGTTATTTTCTGTTTCAATGGAATTGCCTTAACGAAAAATTCTATTATATGTATATGAGAGCATTAAGATCTTCAACAAGCTGCCAGACGAAATAAAGGGTGTGGAGGACTATGGACAATTTAGAAAAACTTTAAAGAGATGTCTGGAAACCAAAGCCTATTACAGTCTTGGGGAATTCTACTCAGACTAATCTTTTAATCTTTTACTGTGATCTTTGAACTGTGATTCTTAAACTGTGATATTTTCAATTTTTCAATTACTAAATTATTTATTTTTAATAGGCTTTAACTGATTCATGTAGTGTTTGACTTTATTTATAGTGATGATTGTTTTTTAAAAAAATTTCTACCCTCCTGCGCTGACTCGTCGGATTTGCTGAGGTATCTGGACGCTATCAAATCTAGCCCATGATAATGTTCTTTTATTTATGTATTGTAAACTGTTCAGGTGTTGTTGATTGTATATAGAATTCTCACTGTTATTTTATTGCTTGTCTTTCTAGTTTTTTGTCTTATTTTTACTCTCAACACTGACATCTAGATTTTAACTTAGTAGGTATACATTTTTAGGATATAGGTAAATAATTTTAGACTTTTTTTTTGGCTTTGTCAATGGAATTTGCATAATTTTTTGGATAATAAAGCTTTGTATTTCAACTGATACCAGTAGTTCTTTTAGTTCAAAACTAGTGGTTTTCTATTACAATAAGTTATTCTCAACTTTTTTCTAGATCTACTAATTTTGGAGGACGTGACCAATTATGTATGTTAAATATTTTGCAAAAGAAGTCTGTCCAATATAAGGAAAGTGGTATTGCTAAAATAGCGATTAGAGAAAATCCACTTATTGTTGTCATGCTAACTGCAATAATGTTACATGTACATAAAGAATGGAGTAAGTATTCGTAGCCTCGAGTGGTTCCTGAGACCAAACTTAACACGTGCGATACCTTCATGGTTTCTGCTCTGCCTCATAAATTGGTGCCATACCATTACTTTGCATTTCACATACCACGCAAACTGAAGCAAATTATTCCCTAACATTCAGTCTATTGTCTATTGAAAGAATCTCTTCCAGAAGACTGCTTTGGTAATGCTCCTTATCCACAGGTATTTATGACAGATGATAGTGCAGCTAAGAAAAATGCATTATTATCTGTATTCGGCAATTAGCAAGAAGCGCAAACGAAATCTGGGGAAAAGCATTGCGGAAAATATGCCAAATCACACAGTAGACATTTATATAATTTTTAGGTGTTACAGGATAATACCTAAACCTCTAAATAAATACATATAAGTTTGTACTGTTGCATGCTATTTGGTTCATTTTGGATTGCACCTTCAAATCAAATCAAAT